TTTCTTTTATTGCTGTCTGTGTTAAATGGTGACATTAGTGTGGGGAGGAGGGGGGAGAATCTTGGTACACTTAATTGTTAATCTCTTTCTAAGTATAATGCCTTTCCTGGCCAGGTCAGTTTCTTTCAGTCTGTGCTTCAGTTTCTTCACCTATAAAATGTGGCTAGTGATATCTGCCCATCTTGGCAAAGTGTGTTTGGATCTAAAGATGAAGTACTATGTAGGGGAAGATGTCATTACAAAAGTGAACTTTTCTGCCATTAGAATTCTAGAAATGGCACACATTCTAATTTGATAGAAAATGTTTACAGTATTTCATTATAGCTTTTTTTTAAAAAAAACAAGTTTAATACAAAGTAATAATTATGGATATCTTACTTTACTGAGTTTGGATAATCTACTCTAGTATGGTTCTCTTTTTTAAGGGAACAGTCACAGAATTCAGGAATCCAAGTGAATTTTATATACAAGTCTATTCTCCGGAAGTTTTGGAGCGTATTAGAACACTTACTGTGAAACTGAAAGACTGTTACGCTAATGCAGTTAACGAGGAAGAATATGTTCCTGTCCGAGGGGAAGTCTGTGTTGCAAAATATTTCCTGGATCAGGTAACACTTTATTTTGCACCTGGTAAGACTTTTAAGAGAAGGCAGAACTGTAAGCTTCTAAATACCTGTTTTCATTCAAAAACTACATTTTGTGGGGATGTGTTTGTATATTGTGCTAATGTGTAAGTAAAAATACTATCATTTTATCAAGTAAATATTTTGTTGCATTTGGAACAGACCGTTTTAAAGTATACTCAACTATGTCTGGGTTCAAACTATGTAGAAAATTGACTTGATTATTGCTTGAGACTTTTTTTCATTTACTGATTGTTTCAGATTTGTTTAGAGTTTTGGTGAATTTACCTGACATTAATACAATTGGACAACTTTTGAATAAGGCTTTTATCCCATCATTTTTTAACTTTGGTTAATATGTCTCTTCCAGTTCTTATCTGATCCCTGACCTGACTTTTTTGATAGTGATTCTGTAGCGGATGAGAGAATTTTTGCCATTTGTTTGTCTTCCATCCTTTCTCCTTCAGTGTTACCAGACTCTAGGGGCCCCTGTAACTGGGTCTATACATTCAGTGCTTCTGAGCAGACTTGATTAATCTGGAATGTGGAAATTAATGCACTCTGGCAGCCTTGAGTGTCATGTATATCAACGTCCCCGCACTGAAAAATGGTGGTGGGGCCCTTTAAGCAAAAGCTCATTTTGGCTCTAGATTAAAGTGCCTCACTGCCATTTTTCAGTGCAGGGACACTGATGCAGGTAATACTTGGGTGCTTTTAATTAGTGCAGTTTGCTAATTTAAAGTCCCCCCCCCATGCCTCCTGCAACACATCTATAAATGCCCTAGGTCTCTTAGAAATACTTGCAGTGCTTTTCTCTGCTTTTAAAGGATGGAATTTTACCTTTGGAGCAAACAACCTATTGGTAGCTTTTACAGAAAACTCTTGTCCAGGTAACTGTGATGCAGTGAGCATTTTTTGAGTTGTTACAAAATCGGTAAGAAAGCAGTAAAAATGAGTATAAAAATAAAGTATTTGGTACAATTCTTTCTGTGAAGAAATATTTAAAGAATATATTGAGCTCATCATTGCAGTTTTTACAACCAAAATGTCATTTATTCATATCTAGACATGGAACAGAGTACTGGTAAAAGAAGTTGACATTGTGCAGAAGAAAGCTCTAGTATTGTATATTGATTATGGAAATGAAGAAAATGCTTCATTACTTAGGATTAAACAGCTACACAAAGACATTGACCTGTTTCCCCCGTGTGTGAGTATTTTTCCCCCCTTCCCCCACCTCCTCTCAAAAGTTGGTTTGGGTATTTAAAATAAATGTAAATTAGGAATGCTCCTGGTGCAACTATTCTTAACCAGAGTGCCATGTAGTATTAGCACTGTCACCTCTGTTAGTGGTATACACAGTTCATAAGGTAAACACAAAGATTTCAAGTAGTAATCCATAACGTCAAAAACGTTTTGACTTGCCATGGTCTTTCTAAGTTCTTTGCAACAGAAGAATTGCTCTATTATATTTTTCCATAGCCAAAAAATGAATTAAACCCAAAAAAGTCCAGTTCTTGGCAAGTGCGTTGACTCTAACAAGGAAGGTTGAGAACCAAGGGCACCTATACATGAGTGCCGAGGCTGCTCCGACTTGCTGAAATTGCAGCATGTCGGAAGAGACTCGATTAATCGAGTCTGCTGGAGCGTGGCAATTGCTGAGCTCCAGCGGCCTCCTGCGTCTTGTGTATCTGCATCCCTGTATTTAAAAATGGCAGCAGGGGCACTTGAATAAGCTTTAGTTCAAATATCCCTGCTGCCATTTTTAAGCGCAGGAGTGCTGTTACAGGAGATGTGGCACTTTCAGAGTGGTTCTTCAACTCGGTTAATAGAGTAGCTTATGACAGTAGATTGGCATGTTCTTATGTGCGGACCAGCAGTAGATTAGAATAACTCTTACCTGTATAATTCATTTATAATTTGTTGACTCCAAAGGAATAGTGGGTGCTGACAGAGATGGAAAAAACAAAACGGCGCTTTACTGAAAGAGGAACTGTGTCAGTTTGACTTCACTCCCCAGTGTCTATATAGCTCATGTGCTTCAGGGCTTTTTGAGCTTTCTAGTTCAATCAGCTATTGGATAAAAGTGCCAAAAATCCTGCTGAAGCATGCGAGATGCTGGGGAGCCAGGTCAAACTGACACAATTCCTCTTCTGGGCATACTCTGTGCTTGGTACAGGGGCTCACCGAGCTGAAAGTAAAGCATTGGGAGCTTTTTGTGTGGGAGGGAGGTTCACCCACATTTGTAAGGACCCAGTGAGATTTGGGATCTTGCATTTAATTCCTAGGCTTTGGAGCCAAACATGCTTCAGCGGGCAGAGAATCTTCTCCATTGTCCCAGTCATGTCACATACCTTTTGCTAGTCTGTTTCAAGCTTTAATAAGGATCTCTCTCAGACTTCTTGGTCCTGTGATCTCACAACATGCCAGATTACCTACATAGTCAAATGAGCTCACTGTCAGCAGTTTAGGCTGCATAGTATTTTATACATCCCAGTTTTCACATTATTCTTTTGTGCAGTCAAGAAACTGCATTCTAGGTGGGTAATGTATTATTTGACTTATCTCAACTGCTACCAGTGGTGTGCTAGTGACGGCTCTGAATTGACTAGACTTGTCAGATTCTTCTTAGAGAGGGGTCCTCTCAGCATCAGTTTAACAACCGTTAATGAGGTGTGAAAAGTGAGCCTATTCTTCACAAAAATTAACAGGTGTCTTCAATATTGAAATCAAAGGCATTTGGCAAATGACTTGTGCCATTTACAGAATTTAAATAGCTGCCTGTCTTGTCCCTTAGTGTCTCAAGGAGCTTATTCTAGACATATATGTAAAAGTCCAGGATCTATTTAATTCAAGAATCCACATGTGTAAGGAAGTACCGTTTTTGTCAGTAGCCATGTGCAAAGGCTTTCCACTTTCAAATGAGAGCTCTTCTGGAACCCTTTCTTACCTAAGGCATCTGAATTCCAGATAATACTGGCTTCATCTAAGAATTTCAGCCATGTATCTTTAGCATGCACAGCAGTTCTTTTCATGTTGTCAGGACTGAAAAAAGTCCAGATGACAGCAGACAACATAACACCAGTATGTCAACAGAGAAAAGCATGATAGTTTTGCCTCCGAGAGACTTGTCCATTTTGAAAGTAAGGCATTTGCAACCTAATGGCTCCAGTAGCAATAAGTTATCCTAGCAGACCAAGCAGATTCTGCCTCTGGATACAACATGTGCTCTGTTCAGTCTAGTGTAGTAGTAGGGGATGAAGACTTGTATAGTTACAGCAGCAACAAAAACAGCTGGCTCAAAAGAATCTGACCTTGTGCACATGTGGTACATAGGCATCAGGAGCAGAAACACAGATCACACCAGGGAGAGCCACAGTTAATGTAGGGTAAATATTATATATCCTAGTGCAGGGGTTGGCAGCATTTTTGGGCAGGGTGCCAAAAACACCTCAGAGTTATCTTTTCTTTTCTGTTGAAGAATGGAACTTACAATTATCTGTTTCAGGCCATTAAGTGTTCTGTTGCTAATGTTCCAAGAGAAGGAAGCTGGAACAAAGACTTCACCAGCATTATCACCCCCTTTATGGGAGAGCGCTGTTCAGTTGCTATTGCTGATCTTCTACAAGAAGAGATGATGACTTGTTTTGCTGTAGATGTTGTCATCCCAAGTTCTGGTAAGATGAATTTGGTTATTCAGGAATAAATGCAGGTCTACAAAGTTCAGTTATGATTCTTAGGTGTTATACTATCCTCCTAATGACATGCACCTCACATTTCTACTACAGGTTTTGTATTCTAGCTATAAATGTTTGAATTCTAACTGGAAAGAGCAGGTCCTAAAATGCAGTAGGTTTCATAGGATGCATCCAGACGAATGTGGACGTTTGGTTCCCCAGGGACAAGTAGCAGCAGTGCACCTTGCACCACAGTTGCTTGTCTCCAGGGAACGCCTGTGCCATGTGCGCTTTGGCATATGACAAGTTACCCTGGGGGTGGTAGGAAAGGCTGGGGCCAGCACTGTGCTGGCCCCAGCAGCCTTACATGGGGGCTGCAGCTGCAGTGATCCTGCCACTCAGCCACAGTACAGCTCCAGGTGGCTCAGCTTCATTTTTCAGCAGTGCGCACTGCCTGTGCATGCATTGCTCTGGGTTTTTTGTCTTTTTTCCCACCGGTTGGTTTTTGTTTTTTTGGGTTTTTTTGACCCCAGGGTATCCAAAAAACCTGTGGG